GGCCCCGGTGATCCTCGGCGCCGGGGCCGGCAGGGCACAGGTGTGACGGCGATGGCCACCGGACAGGTAGGTAGAGAGACACCATCACCCCCCTCCCGAGAGCCCTGGCAGCAGAGGGGGCCGTTTCGGTCCAGGGCATGTTGCTTTGTTTCTTCTGTTGTTTTTGTTTTGTTTTTTTTGTTTTGTTTTTTTTTGCTTCTGCAAAAGGGAGTCCTGCCAGAGCCGGCGCCGAGTCCGTGAGCACAATCCTGAGGTATCTTCTTCTTTGTGCAAACCCCGAGGGACGGGATGTCCGGGAGGGGACGGCTGTACAAAGGGGACGAAGGAAGGGCGGCGGGGACGGGGTGGGTCGTGGATCGTTGTGCCCTTGTGCCCACGTAAGCCCTGAGGTTCGCGGGGCCCTGGCGCCCCTCACTCCAGCATGGCGTCCAGCTGGTCCGCCAGGTCGTCGAACATGCTGCCGATGTCGTCCAGGATGCTCACGGTGCTCTTCGACTCCACGGCAGAGCTGGGCAAATGGTGGAGCCGGGTCAGTGTCACGCACAGGATGGTGGCACCGCACGCTCCCCTCTGCCCTATGCACGGCCCTCCTGCCCCCCTCTGCCCTGCAGTGCTCAGCACCACGTCCCCAGTGTCACCTCCCCAACGCAGACTCCAGTGCTGTGGCATGGCTGGGGCCATCCCAGCCCCATGATGCTCAGTGTCCCCCACTGTCACCTCTCCAATGCTCCCCGGTGCTCCCACATGCCCAGTTCCCCCTGCCTGCACTGCTCCAGCACAGCATCCCCCAATGCCACCTCCCCAACACAGCTCCAGCCGGGGCGCCGTGATGCTCCGGCACAGTGTCCCTGCAACAAGACCCCTGGCACAGCCCTGCTCCTGCCACGGTGGCACAGCTCATGATGCTCATGGCCTCCTGACCCCCCATCCCCACGCAGCTCAGTGGCACAGCACAGCCCCCAGCCCACCCCTGGGACCACCGGCCGCCCCGCGTCCCCTTACTCTGCCGCCTGACTGTCCTCCTGCTTGATCTTCTCCTCCACAGCCTGCAGCGCCGCGGCCAGGGACGCGCTCGTCTCCTCCAGCTTCTGTTGCGCCAGCTCGGGGCCGGCGCTGTCAACGGAGGGACCGGTGATGGCGGAGCGCGGTGGCTTCACCGGCACCTGCTGGGGCTGCGCGCCGGGTGAGAGGGGCTT